AGGTCCAATTGCAACTGGCATGATTGAGCGTGGAATCAAGAGCGGCGAGTGGATCATCTTGCAGAACTGCCATCTCGCCATATCGTGGATGAAGGAACTCGACCGAATATGCGACGAGATTATTGTGCCCGAGAATACTCATCGCGACTTCCGTTTATGGCTAACCAGCTATCCATCCAAAGGATTTCCGGTGTCCATACTGCAAAACGGTGTCAAAATGACGAACGAACCGCCGAAGGGACTGAAGAACAATTTATTACGAAGTTACCTGAACGATCCTATATCTGATTATAAGTTTTTCCGTAAATGTAATAAAGTAGTAGAATGGAGAAGATTGTTGTTCTCTCTATGCTTCTTTCATGCGGTAGTGCAGGAAAGACGAAATTTTGGTCCACTCGGCTGGAATATACCTTACGAGTTCAACGAATCCGATTTACGTATCTGTATTCTGCAATTACAGGTATGGCAGTAGCTTTCTTTTATTACTTTAATAAGTATTATGGAATTATATTATAACTGTGCTATTTTGTTAATCTAGCTATTTTTAAATGATTACGATGAAGTACCATTCGACGCGCTTATTTATCTGACAGGGGAATGCAATTATGGCGGCAGAGTGACTGATGATAAGGACAGAAGGCTGCTGAACTCGTTGCTGAAGAATTTTTACAATCTTGAAGTTATTATAAATATAGAGTAATATCACCCGTTTTTAAGGCCATGTAAAATTAAAAAATCTGAAAACTATTAAATACTCTCTTTGATCATCTATCAATTTTTCTACAAGGAAAGAAAATTCTAAAGAGTTTAAGCTTAAACAAAAATATATAAGAAAATTATTCCTTAAATTTCTAAAATAAAAATTATAATTCCAATAATATTGTAATTTAATTTTGTATAAAGAAAAGAAATGAAACAAAATATTAAAAATGGAGAAATTGATAAAATTATAAAAAGGATGATTGTTAGAGATAAACAAACTTTTAAGACTTCAAGTTTGTCAGAGAAAATGTTATAAATTTTTTAAGTTTTTTTTCTTTATTAATCTATGCAATTCATATCTTTCCAGATATTCATTTTCTCCGAGCGGAATTTATCGCATGCCGGAGGACCCGGATTATGAAGGATGTCTGAAGTACATTCGCAGCTTACCAATTAATCAAATGCCGGAAGTTTTTGGTTTGCATGAGAACGCAGACATAGCGAAGGACAATCGAGAAGCGATGCAACTGTTAGCTGGTGCGCTTTTAACCCAGCCACAGATCAGCGGAATAGGCGAGTAATATATATATATATATATTTCTTTATTTTCAATTTTAAATCAATTTTTAATCCATTGAGATATATTTATATTCTTTACTTTTTATAATTGAAATATTATTGCTAAACTTGTATTAATATGTAAAAGTTTTTATGTGTGTGGTTCAATGCACTTAGCATAGACTTAATATACATTATTGAAAATATTATAAAACTGTTGTAGAAATTATTTATTGTACAAAATCACAATATTATAAAAATATTACACATCTTGCTATTGTTACACTATATACCGTAAAAAAATAGCAATAAAAATAGTGGCGTGGAATCTGCGGTAATACAACATTATTGTTTCTGCATATTATAACACAACTTGTGTAAAATTTTTATTAATTTTTATCAGGTGTCGAGAAAGACACAGATGAAGTAGTTTTTACTCTGGCCGGTGAGATTCTATCAAAGATGCGGCCACCGTTCGATATTGAATATGTATCGAGGAAGTATCCGGTACTTTATATGAATAGCATGAACACGGTGTTGCGTCAAGAACTCGTTAAATTCAACGAGCTCATCGAAGTCATCAAGGAAACATTGACCGATGTGCGGAAAGCCATTAGAGGACTGGTATTAATGTCACCGGAATTGGAGGACGTTTATTTAAACATAAGCATCGGCAAAGTGCCACTCGCTTGGGACAGAAAATCGTATCCCTCGCTGAAACCGCTCGGCAGCTATGTGAATGATCTGTTGACGAGATTGCAGTTTCTGCAAGAGTGGATCGACCACGATGCACCGAATGTGTTTTGGATATCCGGTTTCTTCTTCACACAGTCATTTTTGACGGCGGTACTACAGAATTACGCTCGCAAGCACAAGATACCGATCGACCAGTTAGACTTTGAATTCGATATCACGCGGTTTGAATCGAGAGTTAATGTTGCGCCTTCCTATGGAGTTTATATAAGTGTACGCAAAAATTTTTGTTAATATACAATCTTAAATAATAGTTTTAAAAAATTAAAATTCGAATTTGTATATAAAACTTTTCTTGCCGATGACATATTTTATTATTTACATTTTTTTTATTGATCTTTATTCGCAATGTTCTTTTTAGGGTCTCTTTTTGGAGGGAGCTCGATGGAACAGAGATACGAGATTGCTGGATGAATCTAAGCCTAAGATAATGTTCGATGTGCTGCCAATTATATGGTTAAAACCTGGCGAAAAAGCTAAATTTGACATAAAAGACGTTTATTATTGTCCAGTGTACAAAACGAGTGCTAGACGTGGTGTATTAGCTACTACTGGACATTCTTCCAATTTTATATTGTATATCCTGATCCCGACGGATCTGGACGAATCGCATTGGATTATTCGTAGTGTAGCTGCCCTTTGTCAACTTGATGATTAATAAATGCAACATGAATCATCAGAGTGATTTAAACAAAAATTTATTGAACAAATGTATCTCAAAAAACTGATGAAAAATATATTTAATGGAATTAATTACGTAGAAATATTTTGGTTATTAAGGAATTTTATGACAGATTTTACGATCTTCCGACATATTAAATGGAAGTCGTATATTTTTTCTAAGCTATTATGTGATATATTCGAGACTAAATTAGGAAGAAATAAAGAAAAAATTCGCAGAATCGGGAAATCAAAAAGCACAAATATTTTATATATTATAAATATATTTACTAACAGCAGTCACACATTGTCGTCATTTATAACATTGTTTATCTTATATATACATTATATTGCTTATTATAATAATATTATATAAACATCATAAAATTTTATTTATAGATTATTCGATTAAAAACATGATCATTCTCACTTGATTATACATGATCGGGATTGTACATGCTTTAAAAATAGACAGTGATCTTTCTCTATCAGGTACATATCCAAGGAGCAATTCTTATGTGCAGAATAAATATTCTGTAATGTACAAACACATACATGTGTATTATGGAATGTAATATGCATAAGAGAGACTACACGCAAAATTCCCTTTCTCTTTGCGAAAATTATGGAGGCAGGAATGCCTTCTCTAAAAGTATCACGATGTCTCGTATACATATTCATTAGTACAATGTCTTTAATAGAATTTCGATTGTCAAGAGAATAGTTCATCATTATTTACTACATTTCTACTCGCTTTTTATGCATTATCAAAACATATATTCAACACGTCTATGACTAAATAAAATACGAAGAATAAAATGCGTGGATATTACAATGTATAGATGTCTCACACAAAAGTCATTAGATTTTGACGAAAGAATTTCTTAAATTATTTTATCAATTATTTTAAAATGTTATTTTAAAACTCTCTTAACAGCAAATTGTGTCATTTTATGATTTCAATTTGATGTGATTTTGAATTTCACAAGATTTAATTTTTTATCTCCTATTAATTTTTTTGTATTTTACATCTTTGATTCTTGTTATTTAGAAATCGCGAGGAAAGTGTCCAACTTTTAATGCATCTTGTATGCATATCGCAGTTAATCTACCTATTCGCCGCGACACTTGAGGTAAGCGTCGATCAACGAAGGAACAAGATTCTTAAGTCTGATCTCGAACAATTCAATCGAGTTTCGAGCTGTAAATGTCACGTACTGTTGTGCGCCCACATACATGCATACATATATGTACATAAAACACACACATCATGCATACATACATACAATCATATACACACGCATATACATATGGTCAGACGTAAAGTCGATATACTGCGTTACGGACTAGTTAAACGCGAGTCTTTTTGTAGCGGACTCATGTTACAGACTAGTTAGTCACAAAATCCCAGTGCATTGCAAAACTGGTACGAGAATCATCTAAAACAAACTTGAACTCATAATCAAACATGCATAATTAAAACTTTTCAAAAGAAACTTGCAATGAATGCCATGCAGAGCACGCTTACACAGCTTCCGAGTAGATGAAAAAAGAGAAAATTATATCGATTATATCCCTCGTTAAGATGAAAATCTTATATTATGATATAACAATATCGGGTAGCTGATTAGATCAATGTCTTTAAGGCAGCGTTCTTTCAACTGTGAATGACGCAACAATTGAGCGTAATGAGAACATTGACGCCGATAAATACATATTTGGCATACTTATTGTATATATAAAGATACCGTTTTAAGGGAGAGAATATCTAAAACACAGTTATTCCGAAATAGATTGAGAAATATACAATATATAGAAACTGGAAGACTATGATAACATTCGACGGAAAATATATTTCTTGATATCCTCCTTTACGAAAGTGTTTCAATATACTGAATATTTAATCAGTTTATTAAACACTTTCCTGAGGGGACTCTATCTAATCGTTCGTACAATATTGTTGAGCCCCTGAACATATATAGTGACTTCTTACAATAGCATTTTCAAAAATAGAAATCATAAAAATACACAATACGCAATTAACATTTTCAACTGCTCCTTGTTTAAGATAGACTATTGTAAGGAGTCTTTAATTATAGAAGGATTCATACATCATCTAATACTTATATTTGCAAGAATATCTTATCAATCTTATCATTAACATACTAAAATAGTATACGTTAATGCTCGTTTGAACTACCGTGAATTTCTTTACTTTCAACGCAGTTTCCACGATGTTATCTCTCGAGAGCTTTCACGCATTTCATTTGCACTCGAACTCGCTATGTATCTTTGCAACCTAAATAATTTGCATTTAACTACCATTATCAATCTTCACCGCTTGTGGCGTCGACCAATGCTGGATCAATTTCCTGTGGGGATTCGTTCCTTGATTTTTTTACTTTGTATTCGACATAGCAGAAGGCCCCCGTACCGATGAATATAGTCACGAAAAGCACCGCGAGTTGTACATGCAATCCCACCTCAGTGCTGTACGAGAAACTAATGGCCGCTGCGACAGATTGGCAGAATTTAAAAAGAGCGAAGGCTGACGCGCTCTCTTTGGCGAATAGGACGCCCAGCAACGAGTAGACCTGCGTGTTGTAACAGGCGTCGCCGAAACCCAGAGCAAGACTGCCTGCTAATGCGAGAATCTTTGACGTTTCAATGTAGCCCATGTTGTCTGTGTCCTTGAACGACGCATCGTTTGGTAGATTCAAGAAGATGCTGATGAAGGCGAATAGATGTACGGTCAGACCAGTGAGTACCACCGGCCAGCCACCGCATTTACCAGATATCTTGGACGCTAGAATGCCGAAGACCGCGCCGCCCACGACCTCGCCAACACCAATGAAGATACCGGATAGTCCCACCAATTTCTTGCGATCCTCACCTAATGCCTTCACGAAGCCAATACTGCTAGAATATACACCGGAATAGAAGGTAAGCTCGAGACCTGTATAGATGAACGTCAATGATAATAACAGCATATTCAATGTGAAGAAGAGCCTAATTGCATCCAAAAAGGCGTTCCATGCGGCCAGTAGCGGTTTCTCACGCCTTGGTTCCGGCAGACGCAGTTCTTTGTCAGCGTTAGACACCCCCTCGGCCTCACCCAATAACGACTTCTGTGGCGATCTTCTCAGTACGAGCAGCACCCCAGTGCCGATTACCGCGAGACCAGTTAGCACGCTGAATACGATTGTGCGTTGCTCCTTGTCAATTTCGGACTTCGTGAAGATGAAGAAGACGAACAGATTGCCGACGAACTGCGATGTTTGGAAAATCGCCCAAAATATACCAGCATTTCGTGACATGGTCTCGTTATCGCTGTTTTCTGTTAGATATTGTCCATGACCAGTCCACATCAGAGCGGCGCCGATCCCGACAATAGCGGACATGCTGTACAACAGAGCATCGTGCGGCCAGAAGAACGAGGCGATAAACAGGACATAACAACAGGCACCTGTAATTATCGCCACACGTGGCCCTGTCACGGAAATATAGGACGGTGCCAACCAGTTGCAGGTCGCAAACATGGCATAGATTATGGCCAGGCTGACATAAGCATTACCATGGAAGTCTTCAAATTCGTCCGAGATGCTGTTTAAGACAGTTTTCTGTAAACAAAAGAGATCGAAGCAAGAAGATCAGTTTACTTCTAATATGCTATTTTTCGCAATGTTGTAACAATGTCATAAACTTTTAACAATATTTCATCAAGTTCCTATTTATATATACATTTTGTATTTTACATGTTTTACATACAACACAATAGACAAATACATATAATGTATTTGTCTATTGTGTTGTATGCATACAGGTTGGTTGGACAACTTATCCATGATAACTGACTTGGAAATGTCAATTGGTAATAGTTGCGCTACATGTCAGACAGTTTTTCTTCATGTGAAACTCTGTTTTATATAGAATTTTTATTTTTAAGCAATATTTCCTAATTAATTTAAGAGAGAGAAAGATAATTGAGTTTTTCCTTTAGGAATGTTTATCATTTATACAAAATATTAGATTTTATTTTAAAATAAAGCTGATACACACAATATATTTTATTTTAGCATTAAACAATGGCATGAAAAATATTTCGAACGATAGTATTTGTAGCAGAGAAATGGAAATTAAGTAACCAAACGAGAAACAGATAAGAACTTGAAGAATGTTAATAAAAGACGAAGCTTCAGAATATGCATTGTATCGCCAGTATCCTCTTTTAGGATTCAAACTGGTTATTCTGTATTTATAGAAACTTATGTATAAAAACTGGAGTATATTTACACCTCAGTCAAGGATAACCACAAAATATCAATGTTGTATAGAGAAACGAACATTGCTTTATGTTCTCTTGATAGACCGTTGTAAGAATTAGAAATGTCTGGAATTAATGAGCAAGAATTTCATATTAATTACCAATATAAAAGGAAACCGTTCTCTTAATTTGCAATTTTATCTTTCAAAAAGGATAAGAATGTATAAAATGTTCTAGACAGAATTTATCAGATGGGAGATATCACTTGTGCGATTTTTAAAATAAAACAAGCTTCACACACAGAAATATTAGTATAGATTTCAGTATATAAGAAAATAATATAAGTTTCAATAAGAAAACTGCAGATGTGTATAACAAATTGATTGAAGCAAATGGGGATCATTAATGTGCGTTATAATTAATCTAATCAGTTGGGCAATGTTCAAAAGATTCGTAATGTAATACGTTCATGTTATTCACGATTTCACCTATCACTGCTATCGTATTAGGAGCGAATCGGTCAAACATCAAACGCAATATGTTGTCACAGTTTCAACTACACTTTCACATATAGGAAAGTATAATCTTATTTTACATCGTATTTCTGATCTGCCGCAAACTATTTTACGTCTCGTTCTTGAAAATTGTCAATAATCAACAATCATATCGCTATAACATTTAACATTTTATTTGCTGTTTTTTTGTGCATATTATGTCGTCGTAATATTAACGTCATTGTAAAATTTGTAAACCGTAAGTTCAAATAAATTCTGGTGACGTAAAAAGAAACATACCAATCGTTATATATTTCTCTAAAATGCAGTGGAATAATATATATATATATATATTTGCTTAGATAAATTAAATAGATTCATTAAATATTTGTAATGTTCGATAAACATATAGAAGTGTTATAGTTTAGCTATGTTTGTCGTACTTGCGTAAATACAGTATTCTATGTCAAGATAGCGGTTGTCAATACGCGATAATAACAAACAAGCGAGCCTTTCGGTATTCTGTAAGAAAACAATTTCTCTGACAAATATCTTTGTAGCCTCATTTAAAACGGCTTTTTTTAAATCTGATGCCAAGTATTCACAGTTGATAACTGCGTTCGATAAGATCTATGATGGTATTGCAAGATTATATAGATGTTTACATAACGTTTACATTATTATTTCCGATCTCATACAGAAAGTAATCTATAAAAGATAAAGAAATTGTTGCAAATCTGGAACACGTCGTATTTAATAATTTTATTTACACGTTAATAAAATAATTTTGTCCTAATAAAAATAAATTCAATTTATATGTCATTAAAAATGTAACAATGATCGTAAATTGCAATTTTATTTATTAAGTCTGCAAAAATACATATTACAAATCCTTGATGAGTAAACTGTCTATTATCTATATTTTTCAAAGAACGTTTTTTGGTAAATAAACATGTTTTTGTTATCTAGATAAATGTTTTAAATATAAAAGAGTACATTATCTGCAAGAGCATCCTTATCTCTTTCGCGATAATTATCATATATTTTAATAGAATATTATAATGAATATATTGTAATTTCGCAATATATTCATTACAATAATCTATTAATAACTTGTCTTAGTCATTATGATGTAAATTGCAATAATTTGCGCACACAAAACATTTCAGTTAATTACATGCATATTTATCAGCAGCGTCCATTTGCGAGTTTAAGTCTATTTTCTTAAACTACTGAACGTGCCATCGCAGATAACTGACGTTATTTAACGATGTCTCCTCCTCCTGTCTCTTACATTCATGTACCTAAAAGTGAAAGGAGACTGCGTTGTACGGCTGTATCAACTGACAAGACATTTCTGTTTTAGATATTTCTCTGAGCGCGCTATCGGAGATCGAGAATTTTTTGGAAGTAATAAATTATCTCGACAACATCTCATCCAATGAGGAAATTTCTTCGAAAATTCAAAGTCATTATGATTCTCTCTCGGTGAATTGCGATACAGCGAAGGGCGCATGAAGCGTAAAGTGAATTTGGTGGGAACCGGTTGCGTCGGTTTCTGACAGGTTTCGGTGGATGCATTTATCGAGCACGTCTAGGATGAATTTCGTTTTGTGTTGGTAAACTTTCTCTTTCGCCACTTCAGCGAGGTCGGCAGTTCGTTTCCAGAACTTCGATATAATAGATATCCTGCATTCTCATCGTTTTGTGGTCTTTAAGCCATAATTAACATACAGAAAAATGTAAGACAATAACGTAAGCAATAGCAAATCTAAAATGTTTATTTGCTTACTGGTTTTTTAATATTCTAGTTTTAAAACGTTTTGAAATAATTTAGGCGATTAAATGTATAAAAAAGAAATTTTGTTTATAAAAATAGAACTTCGTTTCATTCTGAATACTTTACATAATTTAATCAGTTACGAATAGACTACAATGACGATGTGTCGACGTCATAGATTAACGGGCAATCTCCATTTTATGATAATGACTCGATTGCAATCTCATAGGGTGCAATATCGCTAGAAATTGACATTGAATTAGCTCGAAGAAATGTTATTTTCACGAGGTCCGAGATAACAAAGCAAAAGACGATTGCGTTAATAATTAAAAAATTTGAATGCGATTTAATTATATTATATACAAAGATAGTGAATTGCATCTTCTAGTATGTACGTTGCAAAAAGCGATATCAATAATAATTGTGAAATTTCAATCGAGGATTAATATCTTCAAGATCTTTAAAAGAAGAAATTAATATCTCAGTTCTTGAAAGAGAGAGAGAGAGAGTCTGACGTATCAAATGGATGAATTTTTTCCAATTAAACGAGCAAAATAAGGCTATCAATGCGATAATAAAATTTTCGCGTATAAAGAAAAATCCGATAAGTCGGATAGGATTATTCAATACACACAACACACAGAGGCATTTAATTTTAAATTCTCGAGTTATACTTTATTTGGTAAGAAAACTTATCAAGACAAGTATATTTTAAAAGGTCAGCTTGATTAAAAAATATTATCATTCCGAAGTCACTTCGAAATCTTCACTCTTTTGTTGCGTAAATATTGATAGATTATCGAATGTATCTAAATTTTTCTTTTCACGGTGTGATTTCATAATTTTTTCTTTCGTTTTCTCTCAAAATATTTATAAAACTTTAAGAGAAGAATATTATTGTAGAACTTTGAAAACACGAGTATTCTAAGCTATGCCACTATATGAAATATCGGACTAATCTGCGATTTTTGTAAGCTAATCGGATGTGATATTGTTAGTGACCGGTGAATTCGCGAGCAAACAAAGACAGCTGTACCGTGTTGCAGCGATCAATTATTCCGCTGCGCGTTTGTTAAAAATTTCGCAGATACCACGTATCCAAAGATACTTCTGAATTACGGAGATAATGGCAGAAATGACTGAGAGACGTTACCAGTAGCTTGCCAGAACACAATTTTCCCGCACTCTCAAGATTACACTTACGATATCACGCGCGGAATACCTATATATATTACGTAAAGTTTCTTTCAGATAGTGATACAAAATTTAGAAAACATTCGTAACAAATGTTATGCAAGATTAATGAATGAAGGCAAAAATATGTCATTAGATCCTGAAATGATATCTTCAGGAACAATCTCAAATTGCGCAAACAAGATAATGCAGGAGAGAATAATGAAGTATTAAAAAAGTATAAAGAAATGAGATCCGACAAAATTATAGAGACAATACAAATAAATTTATTCATTAAATATAAAAGAAAAAGATAAAAAAAGAGAAAGAGAGGTATTCCTACCTACGGTAAGAGCCAACAATCCAAAATTATTTTCAAATTTATAACCATATATATACATATATATATTGTAGATATTTCAAAGTTATTCTTTCGGTAGCAACAGAACTTTAGGAAGACAATGATGTTTCTCTCTACCGTTAAAATATCATAAAAGAATAGTTTTCAGTCGTCTGAATCTTTTTCGGTTTCAGCAAGACATGGTTTGACCCTTGGGGAAAAGCTGTATAACATGTAATGAGTATTTCACTGATCGTCGGTTTCGCAATGCCGAAAGTAGTCGATAATGATACTATATAATTTAGAGGCGTTCCAGTATCGCGATACGGCGATCGTGACCAGTTAACTTTTCTTGCCTTTTGTTTCTACTTTCTAAACTGCGACTAATCACACGATGTCCTGATCCGTGCACTTTCTAGGACTTTAGAGACTAATACGAACATTTTATTTGCTTCATAACAACCAAACATAAAGTTGACATCAAATGTTCATCGAAATATTCAGAAACTTCATTCTTTCTGTCTCTCTTTTTCTAATATTCATTCCCCCATCCTATGAATATAAATTAACTTTAATTCTGTTAATCTATTCAGGTTTATTTGACTCAAAATGTAATTTATTGCGTCTTATTAATATTTTATTTAAACATTTTTCTGATATTTAATGACTTCGGTTAATGTAAAATTCTTTTTGTATAAAAAATTTAATTTTTTATTTTTTTAGAGTTTTTTAATCAAATCATATTGATCTAAATATATAATTGTATACATAATAAATCTGAACAAACTATAGAGATTAATCCTGACTCAACGTACTCTTTAGCTTTAAAGTAAATTAAATCGAGATCAAAGTTAATATGTATTAGTAGAATGGGCATAAATTAAATTATGTCTGCTCTTATTTCGAACGTTTTCGTTCTCAGATTAATATGGGCACGTGCGGAAAAGCGAAAGCAATTCAAACAAATCGCTCGTGTTTGAACGTTTAAATGCTATGGAGTCCTTCACTTTGAATTAGCTACCATAAAAAAGGGATCTCGACGCTGATCGCCTAGTATTATCCAATCATACTATTAATCCAACTCTGCCAGCGTCAGACTGAATGAAAGATCATGTAAATATACTCTGTTCTTCCATGTTCAAACATTGTAAAAAAATGCATTGTTCAAAATCAGAAAAGTTCTTATTACGATTTACTATTTATTAAAAGCAAATTTCTTTACGAATTTGATTACTTATGTTACGTAATATTTTTCAAATTAATGAATTGCTTTCAAAGTGATATATTTTCTAAGAAAATTAATATGTGATAAGTATATGTATGCATTTAATCACACAACTCTTACCACAGATAAAGCTATAATTACATGTATATTTCGTTGCATAACGAGAATTCTAATCTTACACACAAATGTACAATACATTTAACTTTTCTTATGTATAATATAATTAATTTCTTTCGTTAGCGATGCTTTATTTAAGGAACATTTTCAGGACTATTTTAAGGACCATTTTTTCTAGAAATAGTCAAAGTCTTTCGAATCGCATAATGTTTATTTCATTTGCATGAAATAGAAGATACGATTTTATAATTTTTACTATAAATTGACGGACCGTAAAAATTCACAAGTAGCCGCAAATTGCGCATCATCGCGTCTTACTGTATTAAAATTTAATGATAAATTTATATCAAAGCGGACACGCCGAACGCATGACTGACGAACGACAAACTTTTGGACTTGCATGAGCATAATCTTGCAACAAATTTGGTTACTAATTACACTAAATTAGTGCATTTCTAATTCTTTGAAAAAGATAAACAATAACAAACTTGGAAAGAAAAGGGCACTCTAGGAGTCAAACGCAGATAACTTTACGCAAACGCCGAAACATGTAAGCACAATTGTTACAATAAATAAGTTTTGCTTGATATACATATCGGCGTTTGCGTAAAGTTATCTGCGCTTCACTCCTAGTGCCCTTTTCTTTCCGAGTTTGTTTTTGAATTGTACAGGAGTTTTTGTTATCTAAGAATTATTATATGTGATAAACAATAAGTTAAATTAAAAGATAAATTCTTAGAATTAGAAAAAGTTAAAGAGTATAAATTAAATCGAGATTATAAAGTTGATCCTATATTTGGTGAAACCAGGCTTAAAATATTTATGTTTTTACATTTAGCTTTGGTTAAATATATACAATAAAGATATTTTTATGTTATATCGACTTATTATTAGTCGAATATAATTAATCGAAATGGACACTATATAAAATATAAATAATTATTTCAATGACAAAGTTGATTATATTATGCTGCTGCATTTAGATGCTTTATATAAAGCAACCTTAATGTGCACTGATCTAGCGTAATGCAAGTGACCGAATTCACTAATAGATTATTCACTGATCTGACGCAGTCGCTGATATGACGCGCATTCCGTTACTTTTGTTGTAAAAGGCTAGAAAGGTCTCTACTTGATGTAATTATCGCCACTTGGTTTCTGAAACGAATCCATTGAGAATGTTGAAGAATTCGACGAGAAGGAAAAACGGTGCAATCTTCACGCGGTCCATCTCCGTTCAAAAACGTCAAATTTCAATATACTCTTTTTTACTCTGAAGGATTTACTCGCAGTCCTCTTCGAATTTCTCAACCTTCAAATACCGCGGCCTAGGCAAAGGAAAATGCGGAAGTGTGCGCCGACGCAAGCGATAATGATAATATGAATAATAATAACAACAATCACGCGCGCGTTGTGTCGCTCACCTCTACATTGCCCATCGTTTGAAATGCGGTGAAGACCAGCATAAATCCCCAGCTGAGGATCATCACGTTTAAAAAGGCTCGATCCATGATTACAGTCGCGGGACAATCTTTTCGGTATGTATACCTGTCGCGTGTACGGCACCAGAGTGATTCGCGTTTCGCGCGCGGTCTCGAAGCAGACTACTCGTCGACGACTCCGATACTGTTGACTGCTGTTGACAGATCGCCACATGGGTAAAGGGGAAACCGCGCGACTGTGAACGACACATCATACAGTTACCTGCGCAGCCGCCTGCGCAAGTACGCGTTGCTAAAGAAAAAAAAAAAACATCTGACATCGTGAAGTTGGCGGCGAGTTGTACGAGATCTATCGATCATCGATAGATCGCTCTCAATTCTTGACCGATGATCGAGTCCCGTTCGATATGAAGTCGTAATCACGCTAGCGATTGCACGATTGTGATTTGCGCGATTGAAAAAAAAGTAATTGCCAATCACTAATCGGAAAACGGAATCGTACAATTACTAGGGTGATAATGGTTTTATATATCCAGTTCCATCAATGTAACGTATATAGATTAACTTTAATCTCAGTTTAATTTACTCTTAATCTTTTTCTAATTTTTATAGGATTAGAAAAAGATAAACAGCAAGCTAAACTATGATTAAAAGTGATTTACATTGGTAGAAATGGGCATTAAAGAGAAAATAAATTTATCTATCGATCGATCGATCGATCGATCTTTTTGGGCGAGTCTCAGGGGCGAGATTGGAGACGAGCGACTTTTGCGCGGGTTTGACGGATCATCAATCGTATCGTCTGGCTCTATTGCAGAAGGAATTCGACAAAAGAGACTGAAAGAAGAAAGGGAGGGAGCGAACCAAAAAGGACAGTAAGTCACAGGGAGGCGGTCGCCTGATGCAGCGAGCTTCGGGCTGATCGATTGCGTTGAGCGGGTTTAAGTAAACCGCGATTCCCCGTGTTTCCTGACGAAGAGGACGCTTAAAACGCTCGACTGACGTGACGTAAGAGCGCCACGGTTCCACCGATACTTTATACCTTGACCAACCCCGATTTATACGGCGTTGCCGGGCATCAGGACGTTCTCTGACGTGAATGAACGTTTATTCCCTCATTTACTTATAATTTAGGGAAAGAGAGGGTGCGCGGAGAGTGGAGTGAGGAAGAGAACGAGAGAGACGGCAAAGTTGGATTCACCTAACCCATCGTTGTGACCGGGTGCGAGAAAACGCTACCTTGGACTTTTATCGGCGGATCTTATCGATGGTGTGCGAAAACCGATCGACCGCGAGCGCGTCGATCCTCATCACCGGCCGTGAGATCATCATGCAAACATTATGACGGACGTCCGCCCTTGTCGTGACACGAAGAATCCTCCCAACCGCCCGCCCCGCGCTCTTCCACTGGTACCGCGCGAACACGGCGAGGGAGTTGCGGAGGATGCACGAGCGTGAGCGTGAATTGCAAGGTGTCGGTGTGTGAAAAGCCTGCGGGATCCAGACGATAGGTCGCCTGAGGTCGCCGTGATTTTGCTCGAGTGTCAAGTCCGCCCAGCCAACCATGAAGAAGCAGTTTTTCCGGGTGAAGCAGCTCGCCGATCAGACCTTCTCCAGGTACCTGAGTCAGTTGGAATCATCACTTTGCATTACCGTTTTCTGTGTTTCTTCTAATTTTACCTATTTATTTACTTTATAGCTAGAGACACATGATTCTTTCCCAGCAATAGACATAGTGTAACACAGTGATTATTTCTTTGTTTGATGTTCGCAAACAACGAGGATGTAATGATTCACTGTGTTACACTGTATCATCTGTATCTCTTGCTGGGAAGCACCTATAGATACCACAGTGAATCATTATATTTTTTGGTTTAACAGTAACAAACAAGAGTGTAATGAGTCACATAGGTGTTTTTATTTGGTGATACAAGTTGATATGAGTATTGTTTTGTGTCTTTATTTATGGAGTGCCAAGAAACATAGAACGATGTTTCTATGTTGAATTGTATATCATACTCGTTTCTACCAATGTTTAATTTTAATCTTAGTTCAATTAATTTTTTATCTTTTTCTAGTCCTAAGAATTAGAAAAAGATGAAAAATAAGTAGAAGATTAAAATTAACCTACATTGATAAAAATAGATACAAGGATGTTTTTCAGTAAGAGATACAGATGACACAGTGTAACATAAATTCTTATATCCTTGTTGTTTGCCATCATTAAACAAAGATTAAATAATTTATTACGTTATACTGTGTGTCATCTGTGTCTTTTTCTGAAAGATACCTAATAAGTACTGGAAAGTATATATTACATTTCCTGCATTTAATTTGGCTGTTCACGAACTAAACTTTATTCTTCCTTCATGTAATAAATTAAAATACACTGAAATGTTATTGCTACGAAAAGAAATTGTACTTTGATTAAGTAGACATATCTTTTTCTTGTTGGATATAATATCGACAGATATATATGTATATCATGTTCTATTCTAGTAAAGAACATTCAGATACTCTTGTAAACAAAAGATATTCTATTGTAAAATAGATTTTGGAATTATTTACATGGATATTAGGTAGATTAGGAGTGATAAAAGAAACTTTAAATAAGATAAAAGATAAGACTTTGTATTATCAAATATACAATATCTCATTGAAAATTTATTTTTCATTCAAACAGAGCTGGTAAAACAGAGGTGCTAACGGATGATCTAGTGGCTGCTGACAAACATGTTGAACAGATTAGAGCAGCTCTCACCTGTCTCAACAAAAGACTCGGAAATCCACCGAATCAAACAATCACGCAAGATCCAGCTCTTAAGGAGAAACGCTTGGTAAATATAAGAATCATATTTAAGAATTCAGATCATTAAATATAAAATTTGGAGTATATTTAACAAACTAACAAGCGTGTATTTTATATATAAACAAAAGTTTACATCGTAATAAGTTCAGTAATTTTTGAGAAATCATGTCAATCGACTTGAAAAATATGGTTTTGAGAGAAAAACTTATGGACAAAATAATATGTTTAAAATTTTAAATACAATTATAGTACAAAAAATAAAAGTTTATCTCTAATCAACAATACCAGGACCACACAACAAATTCTCTTCTAACTGAAATGTTTATTTTTTAATTTTATTTAAATCTGTATTTGAACAGCCACTTTTGAGTACATTAAAAAAGCGCATTAAATGATCTGTGCGCTACAACTTAAAAATACATACATATTTATTATTTCATGAATATCGATAAAAGCTTTTAGGAACTTATTTTTGAGATTCTAAATATTAAAAGAACGTAAAAAATGGAATTTTGTCGAAGTCTAGATTAAAATACTTCATTAAATGATTGCTGACATGCTAAACTTTTGTCTTAGAAAAAATGCCCCGAGTATGTACTCGGGCAAACTATGTTGGAGAATGCCGGCGAAGACGGCCTCATGAGTTTTGCGCTGGTAGAATGTGGACGAGTGCAGATGTCACTGGCTAACGAAGCCATGGAACATGAGGCTAAAGTCGAACAATATGTGGCTGCTCCGCTGCAACATATTTTAGAGACTGACGTACCAAATATATTGAAGCATAAGAGAAATCTGCATCGTCTTACTATGGATATGGACAGTGCCAGAACGAGATACTTTCAAGCAATTAAACATAGTACTGGTAATGATTGTTACATTTTAAATCATGACTAAGACATTCTCGAGTTTTTTGCCTTTTTTTTTGTTTTGTTTGATATATTGTATTATGAAATTTTTTTATTTATTTTACATATACAAAGCGGTTTATAAAGATTTTGAAATGTATTATACTAGATTTGAAAAATTGTTATTGAAAATAGCTAAGGTTTATATTACACTTTATATAGGTACAGGTGCAACAAAGATCGAAAACTTGAGGGAAGACTTAGAAGATGCCGAATCGAAAGTTGAACAATGCCGAGATCAGTTAGCAGCAGAGATGTTTCAGCTTATGTCACGTGAGACTGAACTAGCTCAGACGATTATTCAATATGTAAAACTTCAACGAGCATATCATGAAAGTGCATTGCATTGTCTTGAAGATCTTATACCTGGATTAGAATGCTATATTAGTAAGTTTCAAATTTAATTTTATAAAAATGCTTTTATATTTACATTAGAATTACAGCAAATTGGTTTTATATATAAAATCATAGTAAATTAATACAACACGTGTGTGTGTGTGTGAATAAAAGCGTAAGATATTTATGCTATAATCACAATTACAGATGACAATGAAATGAAACCTGTTTATGGATATCCTCTTGAAGAACATCTTAGAGTAACAAACAGAAAAATCGCACTACCCATACAATTGTGTGTATCCGCGTTGCTGCGACTGGGTATAGAGGAAGAAGGTCTTTTCAGAATAGCTGGCGCTGCCTCGAAATCACGACGAATCAAGTTAAGTCTCGATGCCTGCTGTCTCACTTTAACGACAGCCCTTGAATACAAAGACCCGCATGTTATTGCCGGCGCGTTAAAATCATATTTACGGGAATTACCGGAGCCTTTATTGACGTACAAGTAAGTATTACACTCAATCAAGATATTAATAATTATCACTGTGCACAATATAACGTCTATACATCATGGTTATGCAGATTGTATCCCGAATGGATGGCTGCTGCAAAAATCTCGCACAGCGACATGAGATTACGAGCTCTTTGGGAAGTATTACATAAGTTACCACCGGCGAACCTGGAAAATTTGCGATTTTTAATTAAGTTTCTAGCTGTGCTTACGAAGAATCAAGATGTAAATAAAATGACGCCACAGAACATCGCTATCGTCATCGCACCAAATCTAATTTGGAGTCCGCAAGAGGACACAAATACAATAGTGTAAGCAATTCTTTCTTTGTTGTGTGTGTGTGTGCTTGCGTGCGTGCGTGCGTGCGTGTGTGCGTGTGTGCATTCGTATTAGAACGTTTTAATGAATGATTAACACGGTGCTGTTAGGAAAACTACTCATGCTTCTGTTATATTTGCAGGATGAACATGAGTACAGCAAACAACTCTAGTCTTATAGTAGACCAATTAGTTACATATGCAGATTGGTTCTTCCCCGGCGAAGTGGATTTTGATCGTGATCTAGAAATCGGCATCATAAATGATACAGAACATCAGACTGCCGGTATGCGCCGCTGTGTGTCTAACAGTAGTCTTAGTGATCACGGCGAAAGTCCAACGCAAGGCAGCCCGAAGCCAGCAGCACGTCGAAAGAATAAATTAGCACCAACACCACCGAGCGGCAATACTCCAGATCGGCACGACAAACCGCCACCGACACCAGACAAACCACCGAGAGCCTTGACGTCCACTCTGAATCGAGCAACGTATAAAAGTCAAAAACACGAAGTGAATATCGAATTGATAAGACATGAAAGCAACGTAGAAAAACGAGATATACACGAGAAGCATTCAGAGATGGAGCCGAAATCACAGTCAGTTTCAGAGTTGATTTCGATGAATGTTCATTCTGCCGATAATCCCGAACGTTTGCAGGAAATTGTCGTTCACCAAAGTGAAATCCTTAATGAAACAGATAAAAGTGTCCAAGAACAGCAGAAATACGATGCAAAAATAAATGTACCGAGTGCAAAGGAGAAATCAAATGGAAACTCATCCGATAGTACAAGTGTTGCTAAAATAATTAGCAACATTAACCATCCAGAAATGGAGTATAATGAAACTATAGTGCAGAGACCAAAACCAGTGCCTACAGAGAAGCCAACCACGTTAGAAAGGAAAAGACCAGTCGCAGCACCGAGAAGTATAACGAATATTGTGCATAACACAACAGGTAAAATATTTCTTAAAATATTATTTTGATGCGTTGATTTTTTCATTTGATTATGATAATATATGTGTTTAATTGTAGCAGAAGAAGAAGTTGAATTACGTAAAAAGTCGGAGAATAATACAAACGTAACACCGAATGAAAGAATAAGCAGTAAACCGGCGATACCTGAGCGACCGCCCGGTTTAATTCGTCCATCGAGTCTCATAAGGCAACAACCACGTTCCACTAACGATAATCTAGAAACTGATCCAGGGGTGAGTAGTAATTTAGCGCAGCTAAAGTTTTATCTATACAGATATATGATAATTATTTATAAATGTAGTTACTACGGGTGGACAACAAATAACACTGCCTGGATATTACATTTTGAGATAACGTAAGCTACATGTGAAATAAAAGCTGCACCGCAATTGATCTGAAGCTTTCTCACGCGTGCATATATGCTTTCTAATGGCATTCTTTATTATGTATATCATTATATAATAATCTACGAAACTCTTAAGTCTTCTTTTCTCTTAAATCGTCTACAGCCTTTAACGCTGGAACGGGCTCATATGTATTCCGTGGAAAAACAGCAGGTCAGTATAATACAAGTGCGTGGGGGGAACAACGTCATCCCGGGCGAGAGCACTGGCAACACGGCAACTTCGAACTTGCAGAGAAGTCCAAGCGTGGGTAGCAGACCGTCATCAATGTCGTTATACGGCGCTGAACGTCCAGAGAAGCCCGAGAGACCAGACGCACCGCGTGAACAGCAGGCAAAGGCGCACGCACGTACCAGATCGGAAGGTAATATTATAGATGTCCAAACGCAGACCAATACGGTGGTGACGGTTCTCAAGTCGCCGCAACAGAAGCCAGCCTCACCGAGGATTCACCAGCGACCGCCGAGGCCGCAACCGCCGCCTCCGCCGCCGCCTACCGCTCGGCCTAAATCGGATCAGGAAAGCACCAATCTTTAGCGGAGCACGATACGAAACAAGAGACAATTGCGATCTTGAGTTTGAGACTCTCGAGAATTCATCCATTTATTACGGATAAAAAAGTTCTGCACATGACAATATGTCACTGACAAAGTTTATTAAGTGAATAAGAATTGTAAAAAGTTAATGGAAATCTTCGATCGAATGGAAACACATCGTGATCGTATTTATGTAAAGAAATAATGTTCATTCGTCGGTGATTGAAAATGAGGCGACTATTTTGTAGGTTTGATATAAGATTCGGACAGAGTTACTCTATTTTTTTCCGTGATCTCCGTATTTGTACGATTTCTTATTATATCCGGTACAATTCGCAAGATAATTCTTAGAAGAGCATTCTGACAATTGCCATTGTATGAAAACGAGAGGAAGACCAGAGTACGTATTTTAAAGGCGTTTTGTATTCGGCAGCTATTAATATGCCGCGTGTATATGTCGTTTCCAAACTGTTTTAGAAACATCTAATTTCGTAATCGATTATAATATTTTGCAGCCTACTACTATCGACTTTTATACTTATTGCGAATAAGGAAAAACGAATTTAAGAGTAAGAACACTTCGCATTTCCACTATAAGCATTCAACAAGCGCACAAAGCTCAGTGCGTGTAATATACGTGAAAATATAATTACAGGAGTGAAACTTCAACTCGCAAAACGTTAAATGACAACATTTTCACTTACAGTACGAATTTGCAATCGATACGTCCATTGATAGAAAAACGAATTAAGGTATGAAATGACCAACATGATCAATATGTTGGAAATGAATCAACGGGTGATATTTATTAGTGAAGATTGTTTGTTAATCGTTACAAAACGCCGAAATGAACGTATCTTACTTTATATTTGACAACTTGATATTCGACTCTGAATTATTGTTAATATACCCAACATTCGACTTTTAATATAATTAAACATTAATTTTTACATGTTTAAATCACGGTATATTTCCAATGCAATGAACTCGTGATCCTGAGTTATCAGAATAAGAAAGATTGTGTATGCATATACATATGTCACACACACGCACGCACAAGAGATTTGTCAATCATTCTCATATAATTATATTAATATAATTATGTCCTCATATAATGTTAATAGGATCAAATTTTTATTTGATGTTTTTTAAAAATTGTATACGTAATGTTTTTATTCTCAGCTAGCATTTTAATTGAGCAGCGTTACTCCATTTTTGAAGGTTTGTGCTGAGTATTTAAAATTTACTTTGTAACATGTGAGAAAGATCTCGAGTTTGTTGTATTTTGTTTCATTGAGAATGCTAGATTTGTCAAATTTAAGAAATTAGCATATGATTAACAATCATTACTTATACATACATATATATAGATTAATATATATTGTCATATTACAAAATGAATTAAGATTAAAAATTCGAGAATAATTCGGAGTATGTATGTTTGTTAAAAGTTTTTGTTTAAAATTTCGTGCAATGAATCAATGAAATTTTTGTTTTATGATTGAAATGAACACGATGAAATATATATAGTTATTCGTTAAAAAAAGAACACAGTATTATTGATTAAAAGATAGATATAATACGTTAACAATGATTAAATTTTATGGAAACGTAAGAAATAGAGTTTATCAGATTAAGCCATATTGACGAAATGGATTTCTAAATTATATAATTATTATAAGAACTGACATCGTTTTTTGTCATTTTTTAGATTTCTGTTTTTATTGTTGCTATCGATGATAACAAACCTTGCATTCTCTACAAATTTTTTGTGTGCTTATTTTGTATCGCTCGTAATATTAATTAGGCAGTGAGCAAATTATAAAAAATCTAGCTAATGACAAATCACGCATTTACCTAAGGTGTGCTTAGGCTGTGAATGTAATGGACTATTAGACGAGTTTATTTGTACATAAATAAAGATTTACTCTATTAGAATGGAGTGGATTAATGTAATATAAGATAACACACTTCATGATTTCTATGTGAAATTATCAGTATACTGGATTTATTAATATATGCAAACAGAATTAACAATTGTAAACGTAATGTGCTTGTGTATACAGCATAGTGTTAGTATTAAAAAAGAGCTGCGATCTGCTCGTTCGCAATTTCTTTGGGTGTCATACCATCGTTATCCGTTATATTTGACTGAGCTCCGATTGAAAGCAAGTACTTCACCGCATCTACGTGATCGCAACTTACCACGTAGTGAAGAGCCGTTTGTCCGTACTGATCCCGTGAGTTTACATTCGCGCCACTTTTAATTAAGTAATCCAAGATTCCGAGATAGCCGCGATCTGCAGCCCAGTGTATGGGATGCATGCCCTCCTCGTCCGGCTTGTTAACAAGCGCGGGTTCGCTACTTAAAAATTCTCGCACCTTTGTCTCATTGCCTTCTTTGATCCAGTCTAAGAATGTCTTGTCTTCGTCATTCAATTCCGCGCTTCCATATGATAACTTACTAAAAACGATCCATTTTTGAGATCCGGCTTTTGCTTCCTCCTCGTCCCATGACGGATTTATTTTCTCGATTCCGTGGATATAATTTGTCATCGCGATCTCGCGGCTCATATCCCCAAGATTCTTCCATGCTTCCCACTTGTGCTTGGCTTGAATCTGATACCAATTGGGCTTCGGGATGTCGCATGGGCCCACAGTAGCTTGTTTATACAAACCGTAAAATCCAAGCAACTGACCTGAATCTAATTCCGACACCAATGTTTGCAGATATTTGCTAGCTCTGTCAAATGTCTCCTCTAGATCAGTCAAGGGTTCGCTTTCTAAATCGCTCTCGGCCATCGTTATCGAACTCGCGTGATATATCTTTAATTAAGTATTACTCTTATCAATTTTACCTTATTTCTTGTATACTTGTAAACCTTTCCCTTCTAAAGAATGCTTACGTTCAAGTACAGCATTCATGTGCTTCCTTTTCAAGAACGTTACGTCTCCATAACCCTCGTGGAGACCTGTTAGCTTATTGAATGCTACATAAACATTTGTCACGCAACCGAACTGAGAGAAATACAGCCAAAGCTCGTGTCGACCCACTGTCCAAGGAATATTGGTGATATTAATCATGTATTTCCCGACAATCATGATAAGAGAAAGAGATTGATTTGTTTATACCGTTCGTTGTATATCTAATAAATGTATCGTATGATCTTGCATCAATTCATGCAAGTTAATATCAGAATTTGTACCAAGATTGTCCAACGCTATATGCATACACGTCAGTCCCCACTTGTTTAGCAGATGCTCTATAGACCAATCGGCACTGCGCTCCTGATAAGTACAGAGAAATCTCGCGCAGGGATTTTTCTCCAGTAAAAATGCCACAATAACCACTATGTCCTCGAACACAGTAGGCTCGTAGAAACAGTCTGAACCAATGATCAGGTCCAAATGTCCAAGCGAGAATAAATTGGATAAGAATAAACCCCAGGTGATGCCAACGATTTGGACTTGATCTGCGATCCCGTTCAACTCGCAACACCTCTTGATATGCTGCAGAGTTCTTGGTTGACTTGCAGAGTCGCTCAAGGTCACAATCGCGCCGCACTTGCTAGCGAGAATACCAGGGAGTGAAGTTCCGGCTCCAATTTCTAGAACCCGCTTGCCAACCAAGTTTTCTCTGTGTTCCCAGAGATACCAGGCAAGCACAGGTGCACAGGGCCAAGTATTAAAACTGTAATTAGCCTGCAGCAACTGAAATCATCAAAATTTTATTATGAAGAATGCAAAGAAAGTATTTTAAGAATTTTTGTATGATATACATAGAAAAGACTAAGCCATGGTTCTATAAAAATTAATATAGAATGGTACTTTGTTCATTTTTCATTAATAGAATTAGAATGGATCATTTTAATTTTATATGTCACCTGTGAGAAATAATTATGTCAAGCGTTGTGACTGCAGATATAAAATCTTGAACATGTTATTTGGTAGTGTAGGAAATATAATGATAAAAAAATAATGTTAAATCAGAAATTGAGAGGTATCTTAAATTCATGTATGAGTTTATTAAGGCTAGAATTGTTACGAAAAAATTATTTTTAATTTTATCAAAAAGATTAGAAGGATTATTCGATAGTTTAGGGATCAATGTATAGCTACTTTATTTAAACAAAGTAGGACAGAAGCATTTGCAAAGGACACTCAAAAAAATAGTAATTACTAGTATTGTTATTCAGTTGATATCTGAAATATTGATATCTAGAATATTCAATGAAAATATCTGAAGACATTCTAGAGATTGTAACTGCTGAAATCTATTTGCTACCTACAGGCCCAAGTTATGTAACAGTCATTTTGAAAAACTTTGATCTTATAACAGCATAAAAATAATAATCTCTGAGGAAATACAAAATTATAAACAATTAAATTACAAATAAATTATACCCTTACATATTAATAGTTTAATAATCGCCAATGTGCTGGAACAGTAATCTTGATGCTTATTACAGATTCATGAAAAGTTTACGAAAAGATCTACGGAGTGACAATTTAAAAAAAAAAAAAAATGAATTGAACGAGACAAAAATGTAAATAAAAAGGAAATTTCGCGAAAATTCTCGACAATGGCCAACAAAATAATTTTTCACGGAGCAATCTAACCAAAAAACCGTAACACCGGTAGCTCGCGCGTGCCGGAAATACTGCGGGCATGCGGGGAAACTCGCGCGCGAAGTTGTCCTCTCACCTCAGGTATAAGGATCTCCAAGCTCTCCTCGTGCTCGTTGTCTTGCGCGCAGCCCTGCGCCTTTCGTGATCTGAATACGAACCTTTTCACTTGCTCGGGCACCGTATGATCCCCATCGGACATTAGGGCGCGCGTAGGAGGTGAACTCGTGTCGTGTGAAATACTTCCTTCTAGACCGGGCATCACTGACGCGCCTCTCGACACGCACTAATCATCTTTCATCGTGCCCGCGGTAATTTACGCGCCGTCCGAATTACCGGTATCCAGCGCGTTGCCGAGCACGACGCATCAAAGGACGGTGATATCGATGGATATGGAGTATATGGACGTAGTTTTGTCGAGAGTAGTCGATGACGGAATCAGACTTGCCGCTCGATATGGCGGCATTTCCGTCCTTTCCATTCTCTCTCTTTCTCCCCCTCCCCTCCCTCTCTTTCTACCAGATATATAAATATGAAACCGGAATTTACCAATGTCCAATTTACCACTGTCAATGTAGTTGCCGTCAGACCGCGTCATTGATATTGACGCTATTTCCTTGTTCTGACATCTGACAAAGTGATTTTCAACTCACAACAATACAAGTTTCATACAACAGTATAGTTTGTAATAGCGTTGAACATGTCGAATTTTGTGCCTGGAAACTACGATTTGCGGACAGCATTGCTTTTCTGTTATCATTTGAAGAAAACTGCTGCAGAATCGCATCGAATGCTTGTCGAAGCTTACGGTGAGCATGCTCTTGGTAAATCACAGTGCTTTGAGTGGTTTAAAAAATTCAAAAGTGGCAATTTTGACGTGAGAAACGAAGAACGTGGAAAACCACCGAAAAAGTTTGAAGACAGCGAATTACAAGGATTGTTGGATGAGGATGACACTCAAACTCAACAACAACTCGCGGATCAATTAAATGTGACACGAGAAGCTGTCTCCATACGTTTGAAATCCATAGGAAAGATCCAGAAGATGGGAAAATGGGTCCCACATGAACTGAATGAAAGACAGAAGGAAAATCGAAAAACCACTTGCGAAATGCTGCTCGCCAGGTACAAAAGAAAATCATTTCTCCATCGAATTGTGACTGGCGATGAAAAGTGGATATATTTTCAGAATCCTAAGCGTAAAAGGGAAACTCCAGACGAACCATCGACATCGACTGGAAGGCCAAATCGCTATGGACGGAAGACAATGCTCTGTGTTTGGTGGGATCAGAAAGGTGTGATCTATTATGAGCTGCTAAAACCTGGCGAAACCATTAATACTAAACGCTACCGACAACAAATGATCAATTTGAATCAAGCTTTGCGTGAAAAACGACCTGAATATCAAAAAAGGCAACACAAAGTAATTTTGCTTCATGATAATGCAAAACTGGTCAAGGAAACGATTGAGGCATTTGGTTGGGAAATACTTTCGCATGCGGCTTACTCACCAGACTTGGCTCCGTCCGATTACTACTTATTTGCATCGATGGAACACGCACTTGCTCAGCAGCGCTTCACTTCTTACAAAGGTGTACGAAAATGGCTAGATGACTGGTTTGACTCAAAAGAGCAACAATTTTTTTGGCATGGCATCTACAAATTGTCAGACAGATGGGAAAGATGTATAGCTAGCGATGGGCAATACTTCGAATAAAATATTTTTTATCATTTTCATGCAATAAACGTGTATTTTCTATTAAAAAATTCCGGTTTCATATTTACATACCTGGTATAACACATGCAAATAAAATATTTATAAAATATTTCTATATGATTTGAAATATTTTAGAAACTTTTAAGAGTTTTATTTTTCGTAAAATATAATTATGTCTAAAAAATCAAAACTTTTAAAATTTTTTTTCTCATAGTATTTGTACAATGGTTCTAAAATATTTTATTGCAATATGTTTAAGTGTTTCATAAATGCTCGCAAAATATTTTTTAAATGTTTCAAAAAATAATTTACATGAACATTTCATACACTATATGGTTCCCACATATATTATTAAAGAATTATAAATGTCAAATTGAAGAAAAAAACACAACTTTTTTTATTATCTCTTATATATTACTTCTCCATTAAAACGCATCTGAATATTTTTTAATTATAGTTAAAACAGTTCTTGCTGTTTTGCTTTAGTACATATACATTATAATTTTTTTTCCAATTTTCAATATATAATTTTAGAAATAATAAACATAATTTTAGTTTTCACATTTTGATATACATATGGACTTCAATTCCATGCATTTCTATATATATTACTCATTATAATTTCTTGTTAAAATCTAATAACCATATTTTTGTATGTGCGCGTTTAGAGCATATAAATTTTTCTGCACTCCAGCTATGAATACAGACGACACATGTACGATTACATACTTATCAATTATGATACAAACAATAAGTCGACATAAATGTACACAATTAAAATACTGTGTCCAATTGTGTCCTTTTATATCATTTCACAAACAAATTTTTACATTTTGTTACTATTTATTTTTCTATAATGAATACTTCAATAAAAGATTTTAAGATTATATTTGGATATGTACGAGATCCTTTTTTTTCTTTATTTCACTCTAGTAGTAAATAAAAAAACTAAGCAACGTTTCAATTAATACCGTGTTGCACAGTATATGACTGTACACAGTGCGTTTCATTAGTGGAAAGCATCCAAACTTATATACCAAGAACTTTATAGTCATAACTACAAAGTGATATTTGAAGAAATTTACACAGCGCTTATACAGCTTTCGTATTTATATAGTAACTTATTCGCGACATCTGTGGCTTCTTTAAGATTTATTAATGTTTCAACGATAGTTAGGCCGAAATCAAAAGCCGTTCCCGGTCCTCGGCTAGTTATGAGATTGCCTGTGAAATTATTGAAAACACAATATCAATACTAATAAAATACAGAAATCAAGTTTTTAGAGATTAATAATAAATTGAAAATTATATTAATATTAATAAATACATGATAAATCAATTATTACCATCAATCACTACATTCTTATTGTCCTGGTAGTCATAGTAGTCACACAAATCCTTTTTCATACTTGGATAAGAGGTGATTTGTTTTCCTTTGCCGATATTATGCACTTTTAAAGCTGTGGGAGCTGCACAGATGGCCGCTATTAATTTGTTCTCTTTGTCCTGTTTTTGTAACAACCTCCCAACCTCCTCTGACTATAACAAAACAAGTTTTCTAAGCTATTCTAACGTCATAATAAAGTAGACATTGTCAAATAAACTTACAGATGTAAACGTCTTAGCTCCACCGAGACCGCCAGGCAAAACAACAACGTCATAACTCTTTTCTTGAACATTACTAAACAGAACATCTGCGCAGATTTTGACGTCGCGGCTGCATTTCACGCAATTGCTATCCTGTACACTAGCTGCAGTAACTGCAATCTATCCAATCATATTTCAATATAATTATTCAAATATGTTAATTCATTTAATTAGCAAATAGTATCTTTTGTTTTTTAGCAATAATTGTACATTGATACAATTTTTAGTAATGATTTAGAATCAGAAGCTCTTGTCACTAGCAACATTTAAAAATATTCAAAGATAATCGTCAAACAAAATGTACAAATTTTTATTTAAATAAATTAAAAATTACACAAAAACAAATACATATATAATATAAATTATTTTCTAGAATAATAACATTACTCAAAATAAAAAGAAAAAAACGAAAATAAATCAAAATTGTGATTTAACATTTCTGAAATATTAAAAATATATATAATATTTTATTATAAAAATATTTTTAAAAAAAGTCCTAACTGGGACCATGGCCACCATGCCCCCCTCCTTGAATTCGCCAAAAACATCATTCAAAACAAAAAGATCCCAACAATCGTTAGACGTAAAAATATAACGTGGAATTCAGTGCAATAAAAAAAAACAAGAAAAATAATCACGTATATATGTTGTTCATTTCCTGCCAAGTGAATAATTATTAATTGCTGTAGACTTAGATAATTAACGTACCCCAGCGCGTCGTAAGACGTCGATAGTTATCACAGCCTCCATTTCCTCCGTTCCATCAGCAAGCAACACCAATGCGGTTTTTGTCATTATGTACTTACGTGCGTACTCTAATAACGTCAAATCTCTACTTTATTCGGTGGGGTAAGGTGTAAGGATGAGGGTGGAGTTTGGTAGATTCGAGAAAGAGAAGTCGAGAAAACTCGTATTCAAGAAAGTCTGTTCCGTCAATCAATCAATAATTACACCAGGCACCACCGTACATACGTATTTGACTCAGGTCCAAGTCCAACTAGTGATAACAGTGATCATTCAATTTTAACTTTTAACTTTTTGACCTTTTGTCGTTAAAATGATAGGTTCGAGCATTGTGAAAATGTACCTTTATATAAACGCATTCTCTCTAAACTTAATTTATTTTTACAATCTAAATGAAATTATTGTGATTGGTCGATCCCCATATTATATTATTTTTCCAAGATTCTATATTCGGTTTGGATAAAATTAATCCAGATCTACAATAGAATTTTAAACCTTACCCCGAATCTACAATACGTGTTTTAAGCCCCAAGCTGTGAGAAATTAACCAATTAACAGTCGAATTCGAGGAGAATAATCTACTATGATTCGTCCATTCGTTATGGCTTAAAGGTGCCTTTTCACGAGCTGCTGAAACTGGCCGTTCCAGCGACAAAAAAGGTCACGTGATAAAAATTGACGAATAGCAAGCGTCATATTCGTTTGCTATTCGTCAATTCAGCAGCTCGTGAAAAGGTATCTTAAGGCTTAAAACTATTGTAGATCCGCTTATGCTAGGCTGCGTTCGAAAACATCACCCGAGTGCCCCAGTGTATCGTCTTATCCTCGTTTAACATGGGTGAACAACAAGGATAAGACGATGCACGGGGGTACTCGGGTGATGTTTCCGAACGCAGCCCTGGATTCACACTGCATCCGATTTTCGTCGTACGACGAATCTGCAACCAATCAGGGCCGGGATTCTCTAAGGGCCTCTTTCACCAACGTCGATTAACTTAATCGACGATTAGTCCATTGAAATTGACGAATCGCGTCTGTCGTCAAAACTAAATGATAAATGCGATTGGTCAATTCCAATGGACTAATCGTCGATTAAGTTAATCGGCGTTGGTGAAAGAGGCCCTAAACGTTTTATCGATGATTGTCGCTATCGTTAACTAGCGACAGCCAATGAGAGCCGCGCTTTCTTTTAGGATTGTCCTGCCATTGGCTGTCGCTAGTTAACGATAGCGACAATCATCGACAAAACGTTTAGAGAATCCCGGCCCAGAAAACAGGATTTTGCTTCGCATTGATGATACGATTTTTCTGATTGGTTGCAGAGTCGTCGTACGACGAAAATCGGATGCAATGTGAATCCAGCACTACATGTTAGCCAACACAGCAATTATATATATAATTTCGATAAAATTCATCTGTAAAAACTGATATGAAATCTTAAATAAAGATCAAAGGTATCTAAATGAGCTTTGTAAACGATCGAACGCTTGCAAAGTAAGATAATAATTATACGTAGAGAAGTATAACGCGCTTTCCAAAGTTGGAGTGAAAATTTGAACTTTCAAGTCGCGGGCAGAATGGGGCAGAATCAGCGCTGCTTCACGAATACGGCCGATCGCGTCGCTACCGTGCGGCGTGCACTGCATTATGGCCGTCGTGTTCGGGTGTTGTGGATACTGAACTTGGGCAGGAAGTACCTGAGGAATCTCGCGGCAGCCGTTGCCGTCGTCATCGTCGTCCTCGCTGCCTCCGTCAAGTGGGGCCTTTTCTCGTGTGGAGTCGCATTAGCCCTCCGTATTCGTGAACCGCGCTCGCGCGCGCGTGGGCGAGCCTGCAATCGCACGAAGCTGACGGAGCGCGTGAGGTGCGAGGCGCGATCGTCCTCGGGGGAACGATGACGCGTGCACATCGCTGAGGGAGGCTGCCGCCGGAGCGCGGAGACGACAGCACGGGTGAGTTTGCAGAAGTCAATCAGAGGATCCCCCGCGAAGCACGCAGGGCCACCGTGCCGTGTGTGGGGACGCGACGCGACAATCGCGTCGAGTCGATCCGATCTCGATCGCGCGTGACGATATTCGCGAGCGTGCGCGCGCGCGCACACGCGCGTTTCCTCGTCTACGCGACGCATTCGCGAGGAATTTTTACACCTCCGTCGCCAGAAATTCGAAATTCACGATCGAGAATCACGACTTTGACCGTCGCGATCGTCCTCTTCGTCGAAGGCATTCGAGCTTGCGCGCTTGTTAATTAGCCTGTTTGCCGCTTTCACCGTGACTCAAGACCACTAAGGAGAGAGAAAGAAAGAGCATGTGTGTGCGTGTGTCAGTGTGTGAGAAAGAAAGAGAGCGAGAGAGAGAGAGAGAGAGAGAGAGAGAGAGAGAAACACAATGTGAGACGTGTAGGCATTAAAATACTCTTTGAATTATATATTATATAATTCAATATGTATAAAATAATCTAATATAATATATAATTGAATTATATATTATATAACATATCACACAGACTGATCTCCTATTTTTGTAAATTACTTTATATAATAGTGATCTATAGAAATATCGCGCGATTTATTTCTTGTTGTTTATTTCAGTTTGTAGAGCTTAAGAGGAATTGGTTGGGGTAGATATCTTGCATTTGTGCTTTGCATCAGGAAATTTTTTATTTGATTTGGAGCATATATCTGTAACTATAAATTAACATTTGTAACTTGTACTGGAATTTTTTATTGAAATCCGACTGGAGGATACTCATCGATACGTGCAAGAGATTCTAGATACAAGCGTGACAGTTTTTGAACAACAATGCTTTTGTATGTTTTCATTTGATACCAGCAAATCAGTAGTATGCAAATACGCTAGGTTTACACTAAGGCTGTAAAAAATTATCAGAGTTCCATTACATTATCTCTGTAAATAGGCGCCAATGCATACATGTAGTTTTCTTATCTTTTACAAAGATACCGAGGCGAGCATGTTAGCAGTATATGTTTTTGCCATATCGTCTTTCAATCATATTGATGGCATAACTATACGGTTCAGGGGGTGGATGATAGGAATTTACTGAAAATCCAAGATCAAAGCCATTCAAAACGCTGGAGAAAGACGGAGGAGCTTCGGAGGAGGGGGAGATGTCTGCTGGCACCCAGGGCGAGATTCGGGTTGGCCCTTCTCATCAGGTTTGCCATATATATCTTGAAAAACTTTCTTGCTAATTAACTGTTTTGCACAATGTGCCTATCTCGAGGCTTGCTATTAGTATAAACATTTGTTACAAGGTAAAGGGCGTGTTTGGATACAATCTCGAATTATTATTCTCCTCACATTAATCGATCATTGTTATATAATTACTTTATATGTGTAATTATTACAATTTTACGAGTGCTTCCTATTTCAAGTCGACATAAACATTATTCTATCTTTTTTGGCATTCCAGTGAGTAACAAAAATAGAGCGACACTTATGTTGATTTGTATCACCAAATGGAAAGCTATAGTTATATATAAACCCATACTATATATATATACACACTTCATGTTTTGAATTGATTAAAATTCTTTTAAGTATTATTCTAAATAAAGACGGGAGCACAAAGTCTTGCATAACGCATGATGCATGAGAAAATAAACCATTTATGCCCATTTTTATCAATGTAAATTAACTTTAACCTTAGATTGACTTATTCTTTATCTTTTTATAATCTCTAGAATTAGAAAAAGACGAAGAGTAATTTGCACCGAGATTAAAAATAAGGTCTGTTTTTTCCAAAGAATTCTGAACTAGTGTAATAAGTTAGAGTAAAGCAAGCTATGCCTGTCTCATTCTATCTTATTGCACCAGTGTACACGAGTTCAAAACTTGTGGTGGAAAAAAACAGCTTTGATCGATATTGGTGAAAATGGATATTATTATGAGACATTATGTATGGGATAATATTTCCTTCTTTTGAAATAAAAGATTGATCGGTTAATCTTCTTATGTTTCATATTATCTATAAATCTATACTTCTGCCTTAATGTCGAATTTTTGATAATGAATCTTGTTACAGAAAACATTTGTAATATTTGTCGAAAAGAACACATGCTAATTCATGTTAGATTAAGTGATTTTGGAATCAAAAACTGGTTGTCCTGGAAATAATATACAATTATAACATACAATTACAAGAAAAGCTATGTGTGCACTTACATTAGAAGGATAATTGCTTTTCTCATTGCATTAAGCAAAATGTAATTCTCCAGTTTTAAAGTGATATATATTGTTTCTTGAATAAAGAAAATGAATGATTACGAGGATCTTCACACGCTCTTTGCATCAATGAATCAGATAAATGTAAACAAATGTAAAAAGAACTGTATGTTCTCGCGTGTACGTGGCATACATGTGCACGTACGTGCGTGCACATGTTTAAGCAAATACGCACGCGCGTACGGATAGTTCGAAGTAAAGAAAAAAATAGTACTCTGCGGAGGAACATTACGTAAATATATATACATACGTGTGTAATCTAATCTGAAAAGTATGAAGTACGTGGATCAATCTTAAAGTTTCTCAACAATAAGACCGATAAGGTACCCGGGATCGGCATATACTCCATGCAGAAATTTCCATTTCTTTTGCATTGCACGCTAACTCCGAATATTTTCTGCGACAGTAAATGTCACGTGTTTAATGAATAGAATAGAATTTTATTCTCTTCAGTATACAAAAATAGCCAAGAAGGGAATTTGGTTTACAATATTTCTTACCATATACGCATCCGTCCATACCTTTCCTATTGACATACGTAATTATGACACGCTCCTCCTAAACCTCTTTGTATTATTCCGTTGTTGTCTATTATTATTATTATCATCATCATCATCATCATCATCATCATCATCATCATTAAATCTCTATCCCTATTCCTAATCACAACCGATTAAAATTTTACAAACCTAATCACAGCCGCTTTTTTCATACTATCTAACTATCTTAAAACTAGTGTCACGTGTTTAATGTAAATCCGAGGATATTCTCGTGAGGGGACACTTTATGTAATCGGAGAACATTTAAACTACGAGAGACATATCGACACGTTTAAGTGGCAGTTTTATGTAAAACTTTTAAAAATTATTGTCAAGATAAGATCGGACTCTCACGCATTTCGGTTCCCATTCGATGGTTCAACTAACGCATCACGCATTAAAGAGCTTCGAATGTTTCAGGTGTAGACCTCGTCTCGTCTGCAATACATGAAATGTATTCGTTAAGCTCTTCTGCAATACTTGTTGTATCACACAAACAATCGCTGTATTCGGCGAATAAGCCGGTGGAACTTTCTTTGCAA